CTTTCTTTCACCATAATGTCCTCTGGGTCCCAACATGTCACGAAATGTTCTCCAAATTCATCATTGTTCTTTAACGTTGTATAGTATCCCACTGTGTGTCTATGTCCCCTAGTTTGTTGATCCATGAGTAATTTGGTTTTAATATTTTAAATTTCAAGTCTTACGTATAGTTTTGAATGTATTCATTTTCTTCTTCTAGACTTAAAACACATTAAATCGAAAATAAAATCTCGTTTCAGAAATATGGCTTCCTTTGCACCCATACTTCATTAAAACAGTCTAACTCAAACGTTTCATTTTCTGTCTGCTTTAAGCAATATGCTCTTTTAAGAATTATCTATATGGATCAAGTTGAAAGATAAGACAAGAACCTTAGGGGGCCAGTAAATTTAGGTGAATGGAGGAGGAACAATTCAGAAAAGGCAGGTGACAATGGTCGCACAACTCAAAGAATGTGACCAGTGTCACTGAGTTGGACACAGAGAAGGTATTTTATATTTTGCTGTGTGTAGTCTCACCAGTAGGAGCTCTGGTAGCATAGTGGCTAAGGCACTTGAATGCTAACCAGAAGGCTGGCGGTTCAAACCCACCAGCCACTCCTCGGAAGGAAGGTTGGGCATTCCTACTTCCGTAGTGATACTGCCTCGAAAACCCAAGGAGGGGTCGCTATGAGTCGGGGCCGACTCGATGGCAAACAACAACAACAAGTCTCAACAGCTACAAAGAGTTTTAAAAAGCTTCATTTTTATCTTTGATACCTAAGTCTTCTGAACACTCTTAGACTCATTTGGGAGGTCACCGTTCCAGGACCTCAGAAATTTCCCTTTGGCCCAAATTGTTTGTGACATAGTTTGTCAAATTCGACCATGATGTTGGCGCTGGGAAATTTTATCCTAAACCGTATCCGCTAGTTGTGATCTCCATAGTGTGACCACATATCATTAATAAGAACATTTTAATTGACTTTGTAGTTTCTGGATTCCAAACCAAGAGCCAGAAATAAAGAATAATATAATGACCTTTCCTGTTCCTCCCATGCACCTTGATCCGACTTTTACATTCGACTTTACTTATTCATCTCATTGTTAAAAAGAAATGCAACATTGCAGTTAAAACTTCCTGTGTTCCATCCCCCAATTCCACACCCCCTCTTTCCCTCTCCGGATTCAGGCACTTTGAAAATTACTGCTTAATCGTTCCCATGAATGGCATCTAGCATTCATTAAAATGCAGGATTTATCATTCCCTTGCATACCAAAATAAATTACTGAAAGAGAGGGATAAAAACAAGAATGTGTCGGATTCCTCTGTACCCCACAGGTCAAATCCTCCTCCCACGTCCCATTGCGAGCCAGCATTGTTCTCAGAGCGGTGGAGGGATGTGAAACCTCATTTCAAGGTGTGTCTGGTTTGCGGGAGTGCCATGCTTGACCCCTGAATCACAAACAAGTCTCACGTATCTGTGTGAACACTTTGCAAACCTAGGGGAGGTCTTTGGGATTAATAGCATGCCCACTCCCCTTCATTTTAGCTATGAATTTTTTCAACCTACTGATGAGGTCAGTCTAATTTTTATCCTGTGCACATTGGTCAATTAATTTTGGCCTGACCACTCCTTAACAAGATTCTCAATGATGCAGAGATTTTGTTTAGTCCTTGCAAAGAAAGTTCTAGAAGCTTGACTCGTTGTTATGTGCTGTCTAGTTGGACCCAACTCATAGCAACCCCTCCTTGGGTTTCTGAGGCGGTATCTCTATGGAAGTAGATTGCCCAACGGTCCTTCCGAGGAGTGGCTGGTGGGTTTGAACCGCCAGCCTTCTGGTCAGCAGTCAAGTGCCTTAGTCACTACGCTACCAGAGATTCCCTCAGATGGCCTTAAATGGTGCAGACATCAACTCCCCTACTCCAACTTCCCCCAAGGCCAGAGCACGGGAGGAGACGCGTGGAGGAGTGAAGGCCTGGAGGAACAGTGGGGGGTGAACAATCGCGCTTCTAACGGCCCCCGCCCGACCCCCAGCCAGACTGCAGAAGCCACGCCCCAGCTACGTTCAGTCCCCGGCAAGCAACGGCAGGTTGCTATGGAAACCTCGGGCGCGGGGCGAAGAGTAAGCGCGCAAAAGCCACTGCGCAGGCGCGCTGCGTAGTTGCGGGAGCGAGGCGGGGCGGACGCCGGTTGCTCCGCTCGGCTTTAGCTGGTCCTGCTAAGCGGGAGTCGCGGTTGGAGGCGTCTGCGAGGAGGCTGCACCCCCAGGGCCGCCCGTCGCTCTGGCTGCGCAGTCGGAGGCAGGGCTGCCAGTTCCCTGCCGCTCGGTGGAGGACCAGGACCCGAGACGCGGCTGAGAGTGTGTCTCCGCGGCTTCCCCGACACGTGTAAGCACCCTCGGCCTCCCCGGCCGGCTTGGGGCGGGATGCTAGGGAAGGGCGCGGCCTTTAGCAGGTCAGCCGCGGAGGGGGGCGCCTAGGGGCTCTCCGCTGGGCCGTTTTCCTGGGACGCTGACCATGTCGCCCTGTGATTTTGCAGGCTTCATATTTGGGGACTGCTGCACCCCACCCCCACCTCCTAGACTCATTAGTCGAACCCACCAGACGCCTGCGACCATGGCGGCGATGAACCTTCTGGAAGATTGGTGCCGGGGGATGGATGTGGACATCCACAGGGCCCTAGTAGTTACGGGGATCCCAGTGGAGTGTGGCCAAGAGGAAATTGAGACGACCTTGAGAGAGTTCTTCGCTCCCCTCGGCCCGTACCAGGTGCTTAATAAGATGTTTCTGAGGGAAGAGAATGCCAAAGCCGTTCTTGTCGAGATGGGCGAGGGCATCAATCTCAGTACCATTCCCCGGGAATTCCCGGGAAGAGGTGGTGTCTGGAGAGTGGTCCACAGACACCCCACCCAGGATGCCGACTTTGTGAAAAATCTGCATGAATTTCTCGAGAGTGAGGGGCGCACCGTGGACGACGTGTTGCGCCTGCTGCAGCTCCACCCCCCCCAGCAGCCCCACATTCAGAATGTGCCCCGAGAGAACTGGATGCAAACGTTGGGGGTGTTCCTGGGGGCGGTGGTGCAAATCGCCTTACACATGGATTCGGAGATGCGCCACCTGGAGGAAATAAGGGCTCAGGAGTTGGCGGTAGTTCAGATGAGAGCAGCAGCCCAGTCTTCTGAAGCAGGAAGGAAAGTTAAGGAGGAGCCCAGACCTGCTGCAGGGGCCGACTGTGTCTTGAAGACAGAGAGCTCCAGTAGCTGGTGTGACACTGAAGATGAGGCGCCCAAGCCCTTTTTTTCCAAGGCCTGGGCTAAGAATCCTTGTAAGAAAAAGGTGACCAAAGGCGCCCGGCCAGAACCAACGTTCTGGAAAAAATTCAAAATCAACCCCGCAGACAGATCAACCTTCTTTGAAGATTCTGAAGCAGACGAGGCTGAAAAAATGGAGAGCCCCGAATGTGCCCTGATCAAGCAGAAGCTGTGTATGAAGCGAGGGGAGTGGCCCCTGAAGCAGCTCGAGGTGAAATGTGCTGGAATGGTCCGCGGAGACCGACCTCAGGATGTCTCCTCTGAGGCTGAGAGCCCCGGAGGTGCCTCAGAGTCAGACAAAGATGGCGACCACGATGTCCCCCCAAGGAAGAAGGCCATGGGCTGGGGCATGGCAAAAAGGCTTGTCCCCATGAAGAAGAAGAAGAAGGTGAGCTTGGGCCCTGTCTCCTATGTTCTTTTGGGTTCCGAAGGCACCAAGAAGGTAGTGAACCCAAAGAAAGGGCCAGGCTCGCGTAAGGATGCCTTGTTTCGGAAGGGCTTTGGACGCCCAAAGAGCATGGAGGTGCCAGCCCCAGGGTCACAGGATCTGAAGGCCAAGCAGGAAGGTTTTCCTCAGACCTCCAATGACGGCAGTGACCAGAGAAGTCATTTTGAGCGTGTCAACAAGTGGATGATGTGGGAGGAGCCTGAGTGGGGAGTGGAGGAGGAGGAGGCGGCGGCGGCGGCATCATCCAGTGGGGGTGCAGAGGGTCAAGTGGGTGATGAGGAGAGTCATGGTTCATCAGAGGAGGAAGCTGACCGAGCAGTGGGTGTTCAAGAAGATGAGAACCGTGATCTCCTACCAAAGAGCCCCTGAAGGCCAACGTCGGCTACTCCTGGGAGGGGTTGGCGGGTGGACAGGAATTTGGCAAATCATCCGTTAGTTTATGGATGAGTGTCATTGGTGGTCTCAAGCCACTCTGTCTGACCCATCACCCTTGATAAGAATTTCATGGTTTTGGGCTTCTGTTGTTTTGTTGGGGGTTTGTATGTTTTGATAGGAGGCCCCTGGGTGGCACAGTTGGTTAAGTGCTTGGCCACTAAACCAAAGAGCTGGCAGTTTGAGTCCCCCCCAGGGGCACCTCAGGAGAACGGCCTGGTGAGGTGTCCTTGTGAAGGGTCACAGCCTTGAAAGCCCTGTGGGGGGGTATGGTTGCACTCACGGGGTGGCGGCTGGTTTGGGTGGTGGTTTTTTGTTTTCTAAAGGCCTGGTTGGGGAGTTGAAATGTTCAGGGACCCAGAAAATTCTAGCAAGGTTAAATATATATAAGTCCCAAGTGATACCTCTTCCTTTTTCCCCTCCTGAGTGGTGTGATTTCTCTCCAGAATCCAGAAAGCTTTGATTTGGGGGGACCACCCGTACTTGAAAGAGAGCCAAGGAAGATATTCTGAGGCGGGAACAGATTTCTGTTGTCATTGGAGGGGTGGGGGGGAGAGTTTGGACTCCATCAGGGACTTGGTTTGTAGAAGTATGATTGTGGGGTGAATGATGTTTGAGATTTTGGGGGGATGGGTGGCGGGAGAGAGGTGTAGCTGACATTTTGTTGGGCCTGCTGTGTGTCCTCAGCTCACTTTCGGAGTTGGAGGAGTTCTAAGTGGTTGGGGCAAATTCTAGAATGTTCATCTTTCCTCTAGGGCAAGGGGCACTGTTTGCACTAATGTTTGGCTTTCTTCCCCAATTTGTCAACTTTATTCTCTAGTTACCAGGAGTTAGTTTGGAGGAAACAGAATGTCCACTCAGACCTTGAATTAATTGGGTCTTAGGATTAAATAACACCAAGGGTACCTTCGTTGTTATTTGAGGTGAAGATTTGCAGACTCCTCTGAGGAAGGAGTGATTGGGGGGGGGGTTCGCCCACTCCTATAAAGTGCTGCCAAACTCTTGGTCTGACACTATATATATAGCAAGAAGCAAAAAATGCCTTTTAAAAAAATGGCTATTACTTTCTGCTTTCTGAGTAGACATTCAACCAGACTAGCAATCCATAATGTGTGCGCAGGAGGGAAGGGGTTACAGGTAACCCCACTTCAGTGGTTTTTCAAAATGTATCCTGGGGAGTCCTGAGGCTTGCCCAAGGATTTAAGCCGACTCTGTTCGTTTTCATATATTCTTCAAAAATGGTGAAAAACAACAACAGAAAAATGACTACTTGAATATGTTACACTGGAGAAGACCAAAATATTCATGTTTTGTAGGTTAACTAGTTTTTGTAGAAGTCCCAAGTTTGTTTGTACCTTCTGTTTGCATATAAGTGAACTTTGTGTCAAGGTGGCTTTGATGAGGAGGGTGGAAGGGGAAGAAACTCGATTTGGTGCATGTCTCGAAATGTAATTCTGTGAAAAAACAAAGTTTACCTCTAAATTCTCTGCTCTGATGCTGTGAGTCTCTGTTGGGCATTAACAAGTAATTAACCCGCATAGTTTTAGACCTTGTAGGCGTGGTGGGTGGGTGTGGGTGTTTGGGGAGGGGGTCTCTGTTCTGACCTCACTTTTTTGTGATAAAGAATGTGAACGATTGTTAGATCTTGTTAGTGATTCAACTTTGAAATCAGTGTCTTGTGGTGCCTTTGAAAATCCTGGCTGTATTTAACTGAAGATGAGGAAGAAGACGGTTTCCACGCACAGCTCCTGGGTGGCAGCGTCAAGCGTTGGCCGCCACGGCGAAGAAATCCCACAGCTGTCCAGCTCTTGCTGATAAAGGTGGATCCATTAGGGCTTCATTGTATTAACTGCCTGCACCAAGACCTGTAAATGTGAATGTTTATGTATAAAATAAAGTTGAAGAAAATGAACTAATCTGTTGGGTCAGGGATTTTTTGGAATGGGGGTGGGGGTGTCCCTGAGGGGCACAGATGGTTAATTAAGCACTTGGCTGCTAACCAGAAGGTTGGTGGTTCAAGTCCACCCGGACGTGCTTGGAAGAAACGTGATCTGTGAAAAAAATCAGCCATTGATAATCCTGTTCTATTGTGACACAGGGTTGCCGGGAGTTAGAATTTACTCTGGGATCTGGTTGTGGGTTGGTTAGTCTATCATAGGCTGCAATTGCCTGGATTGTTTGAGAAAACAGTTAAACAGTTTCAAACAGTTTAACTGCTAAACAGTACCCACTGTCCTTCGGCCGGCCAGCCATCCTTGAGTGGTGGCCGCATCTGGGAGCAAGCTGGGAGGACTGTCGGCCCTTTGGGGGGGACAGTGAGCTGGCTCTCCTCGGCAACCTTCCTTCCATGTGAAAGGCTCTTCGCAGGGTTTGAGGCCGTCTACCTTCCAGGAGTTTCTAGAACAGGTAACCAGAGTTGTAAATTACCTGAAAGTGCTCATTAATTTTTAAAAGCCAACTGGGAGGTGAAAACCACTCTCCTCTAGACAGATAAGCTGTTACTAGCAAGGGGCACCTGAACCAGGGGTCCCACTACATCAG